ATACCGCAGACGCACTAGATTACTTGGCCTACCTCAAAGAAGGCATCCTACACCCCAGGGTCACCTCCGTCAGACAAATATTGACAAGCCTCAAGGAAGCATCCACGAGCCTACCTCAGGGATTATACTTCCCATTCAACCTACAGGGAGGAGATTGGACGACTATTGAAAAAATAGCAACCATGACGGCGTATTGCAACCCGACGAGCATTTTTACTATTTTAAGATTCCCATTAATAGCATTGCCGGCGTACGACGTGATCCACGCGATACCGCTGCTCGTTATGATCGCCGCGACTGTTACGCGTGTAGCGCTTCTTTGTCGTTTGTTTTCGGAGTACTCGCCATTTTACGATCAACGTCTATCTGCAAAGCATTTTTTCGCTGCTGCATGAAAACACTGTACTTATTATACTGTGTCAAATTTGATCTCATCTTGGTTCTCTCAAAAGAGTTATTAATTGTGTATAAAGGAAAAACACAAGAAGCATCAATAGTAAAAATCCAGCGCGAGAAGTATTGCGTTTTGACGATAACGTTCTTTTGTGTGTAACGATACTCGTTAAGATACTTGTAGATCATAAACGCACAATGGCAGATGATGAAATGAAAAACATATTGAAGGACCTAGATTTGAAACATCTTGAAGATTATTTCAAAAGTAAGTATTGAAAAATTATTATATTATATAAATTAAGGTTCCGAAAATTATAAATTTCGATATTCACTGGAATTGTTTAAAATCTATAGGATTACATTAGGAGTACATTACATGCATTGTAGATTTTGAGTACTAAATATCGAAGCAGTGAATATCGGAATACAGCCTATATTGAAAATAAATTTGTATCTTATATAATAGTGAGTGTGCATGCAAAAGAAGTATTTTGCGTTTTATAAAAACAGTAACATGATTAATGTATAAAATATAATGTATAAAGTAGAATTTGGTTATGTTCAGCGGAGAAAGAAGTTTAGTGAAAGCTTAATGATTATTTCCTTTGATTGATACATCTCAAAGATTCTGAATGAATATTCCAATCGCAGATAATAATCATTAAATGTTTATTTAGCTGTTTTCTCTGTTGAACGCAATATTTTTTTTCAATTAGTAAAAAGAAAATGACTTTTTTTGTGATAAGACTATATTTCTCAAATGTTATAAGCAGTAAGTTTACGTAAGTGCTAAAGATCAATATCTTTTAAATTCAATATTTTTATTTATATTTGCATATATATGAACATTTTAAATATTTTTATAATTTATGTGTATTTTCTGCTACGTAAATATATTTTTTTAGGTAAGTTTATAAGATGACTTAATCATATGAGTATTATAATATATATGCTTAATTATATGAGTATTGTAATATATTTATATCATATTATATGAGTTATTGTAGCATGTCTACATATTTTTAGTTTTCCTTTTCTTGTCTTACTTGTTTAAAAAAGGAAAATTAAATTAACAATTATTCATACCTTAACTAAATATAAATTGTATATTATTTTCAAAATTTATTTCTTAATGTTGTAGAAAATAGAATTACCAAAGCTACATTAAAACATCTTGACGAAGAACTTATTAAAGACTTAATACCTGTGATTGATGATAGAAGCACATTTTTGACTTATTGGAAACAGAATTATAAGACAGTTTTATTTGAAGCAAATAATACCCACTGTACACATCCAAAAAAAGTAATTTTTTAGTCATTGTTAATATTATTATTGAAAATATAAATTTTTTAAATTATATTTTTAAAAACATGATCGTGATATAGAAGATATATCTGAGGTTAATATGGAGTTTTGTCATAATATTATTGAAAAAGAAATTGAAAATTTTGACGTTTTAAGCAAAGAAAAGATTATTCCTATCGAGGAATTATTTTTGAAAAGCAAATCAGGACAACAAATTTTATTAATTTATAAATCGATCAAAAAACTTGATGAAAAATTGAGGAGCATATTGTGCGACATTATTATTTCTTATTTGGAAAATACTGATACAAGGTAAAACTTTAATTGTTTGCCTTTACGTTTTAGTTTATACAAGATCTATGTATGTACTCTCGTTTAAAAATATGTGTGATTTTTAATTTTATAGTCTTAAATTAAATGTACGTGAAGGTTCTTTAAATTTGAATGCCAATTTGTCTTCAGGCTACGGTTGCATGAGAATTTTAAAAGATTTGTATACTTTTGAAAATTTAGCTTATTATGTCATTTGTTATAGTATGACTAATGGATTATGTGAACATATATCCAATATGATTGTTAAGACTTTTCCAACTGAAACAACTGAAAGATATTATATTCCTCCCATTAAAAAGAAAGATTCTCTAAAAAATAAATCCATTATATCAAGAGGGAAATTAATGTCCATGTGGCGTAATAAGAATTATAAAAATAAAATATTATTTTAAAGAGTAAGGAAAGAAAGTACATACATCAGATCATATTAAAACAACAGGTACCTTTGTAAAATTTTATACTTATTATAAATCTATTTTTTTATTTTATTTACAAATATTACTAATTGTTAGTAATATTGAAAACATATTGTTAATTTATGTTAATAAATTACAGTAAAACTAAACAGAGACTAGACTAAACAGTAAAACAAATTATATTAATAAATATAATATAGGATGGCTCACTAATAACTTTTACAGCTTAGTATCTTGGAAATTATGTCATATGATTTTAAAGCTTTAGATTTTAAATTGTACATATCTGAAAGGCCTTTAAAATAGAACAGAAGTAAATCTTGTAATTATGATTGCGTGAAGCGGAGATTTACTTTAAAATTTTTAATGGAAACCTTTATATAAAATTATTTTTTTTATAAAAGAATTTATGAAATAAATTTTATTAAAAAAAAAACTAATGTAGTTTTGGAGATTTCAAAATGACCTTGATACAACACAGAAGCTTGTACCCAACATTGTAACAAGATTACAATATTTATACAATGTATTAATATTGTAACGTTGTTTTAATCGTTGCAAGCTTCTGTGCAATGCAGAATATGTTATGGCCTTACAGAGTGATTTTCAAAAGTGTTTAGCCGTCACTCATTGTTTTGTAACGGGGTTCCCTGAGAAAGCCCCGTTCTGCGGACTATCATCCTCGCGGTTTGCCGACGACTTCCATCTAAGTCGGGGACAGTACCCGGTGCGGCAAGGATCGCTGTGGCGCTCCGCTTAATTTCGTTATTCGGGGAAACAGAACGCCGATTGTCCGCGCCACATACGCGTACCGAGCGCGCCAAACTGCCGCCGGCCGAAACGGCCGTGCGCACGCGCACTGGCGCCGCAAGCGTCGCACGAACCTTGACCGCGGCGAAATTGTTATCGGGCTACCGTTGTTTTATGTTTCATATATATATATATATATTTAGTGTTAAGTTGTCCGTCCGAGCGTACTGTAAATAGAGAGGGGGGATCTGCGAGGGTATAAAAACCGGCTTCGGGCTCACGGAGGTAGTCACTCTCGAGTGACGACTCTGGCAGTTGCCGACTCGTCCGTCTTCCGCCTTCCTCGCCACGAGCACGAGAGACCCGGACGTTCCCGGCCTCGGTCCGGCCGACACCGACGGCTCGTAATCGGCCTTCCCGGCCGTGGTTTCCTGATTCCCGACCGATCCGGCTAACAGTGGTAGGGCCGTTGCCTGCCACGGTCCGGCAGTTCCCGGCTGACCGAGATCAACCAAGTCCCCGGACTTCGTACCGCCGTGGTGTGGCCGTTGCCCGCCACAGTCCGGCCTGTTGCCGACCGTCGAGTCCGTACCCCGAACCGCCGCGCCCCCCCTCCCCCGCGATCATAACTCCGAGAACCGTAATGTAACGTCGCGTGAACCCGTCGATCGTAATCCGTATTTCTGCGCCGCGACATCGAGAGTATAATGTAAATTGAGTGATCGGAAAATATATCGTTATTTGTGTTCAACCATACACCGCGAGTTAAATTACTTAAGGCGATCCTAAAGTCGTCTGTTTTATCAACCGAACGTGATTATTTTCCAACACATAATAAACATAATTAAAGGCAACAGATTAAAAAATCCTTCTCCACGATTAAAGTATAGGCATCAATGTAATTCCGGCTGATAGAGATTACGCTGAGAACGAAGAAAAATTAAGAAATTTAGATCTCCGTTACCTTTTCTTAGTCCAATATGGCGTCTACAGTTGTGTACGTGTGCCAATATTTGCTTCGTACAAAAATTTGGCAGTTTGTTGGTACAAAATGATACCAGCCGGACCTACGAATTACATGTGCAAACAATGTAGAGTTCATAAAATTAGGCTTGGATGCCTAATAAAAAAGATGTACGTTCATGAA